CGCCACTGCTTCAAGTCATGACACATTATCAAGTGAATTTGGATCTCCTCAAACTACTTCTAGACTCCGGAGCATGTGTAGATGCTTCGAATGAGGTTTGGATCCGAAAAAGCGCACTGAAGGGCCCTAAGAGTGTGTTTGAGCTACTTCTTGACCGTGCACCTTCCTTATTTACATCGGACGCATTAGAATCATGCCTCTCGACGTATTTATTCGAGTTGGCAGTATTACTTAGCACCAATACTGATGATTTCAAAGCTACAGCCAGGATTCTAAAGCTGGCCAAATCTGGAAGGGTGAAAGTCGATGTATCCAGCTCAAAGAACTCACTAGTCAACCATACACCACTCTACTTCGCATGTCAGATAACGCACGATCAGATTTGGGCTTCGAGCATAATTCGCTCTTTGCTCGAGGCAGGGGCAGATGTTGACATACCAAACGGCATTGGCCGGACACCTATTCACAATATCCTGAGAACATCCAGGGACTACCAGGACCGTGAGGTTATATTGACAATGATCAAATCCAGCAGAAACATCAATCAGCTCAACGAGGACGGTGAGAGCTATCTACATCTTGCAGTCAAGTATAATCACCCACGTGCTGTACAGCTGCTGTTGAGCAAAATGAGCAAGGATGCCGTGCTTGCCCGTAATAATGCCGGCGATAATGCTCTGCACTGTGCTATGGAAACTGGAAATACCTCTATGATGCAGCAGCTTCTAGCCGCCGGTTTCGATGTTAATGCCAAGAGCCGGTGTGGAGAGACGGCTTTACACCGTGTGTCACGCTCTAGATATACGCATTCTATTGCGTCATGTATTACGTTGCTGGCTGAGGCGGGGGCAGACATGAATATACTAAACGATAATGGAATACCACCTATTCATGTTTCGACGAAGCAGGGGAGTCTCGAAGCGGTTGAGGCTTTTCTGGACAAAGGCGCTTCTGGGCATGAAAATTGCAAAATTTGTAACGACCGCATAGAAGCAGTCAGGAAGTTGAATGAGGAAAGTGAATATGGAAGTGAAATGCTTGTTTCTTTCTACCTCTTTTCCTTTTCCTTGCTTCATTGTGTGGGGTACAAGACAGAAAAAAAGAAGGCATTGTTGTGGCGCCATTGTCAAGAGATAGACTCTGGTCGTCAGTTTCTTTTATTTTTCGATTGTGCTATTTGCCTGAGCAACAGTGTGATATAATTGAATTTGGCTATCTGAGGCTCTTTTCACTTCTTATCTGGTATAGTTGGCAGGAGACTAAATATAATCTTGCATAGTAGTTTGATCTACATGGATAGGGCTGTGCACAATTGACAACTTAGATTTTATATATAGTAGTAGTATTCATGCTGATTGAGAAAATACCATAAGAAATATTTCTACTCCTCTTGATCTTCTGCTTGCATTTTGAACAGAAATAAAAAGGAGGCGTCATAATACAAAGCTATAATGACTGCTCCTGTTATTTTCGGTGGTATAAGTAGGGCAAGAATCATATATGTAATGGTACCACTACTGGGACTTCCTATATAAGCACCCTTTTCCATCATGAGCAAGATAATATATACTAGTATAGTACTAGCAATATAGAAATGAAGTAAGCAGAGTTATAAATAATCTACATATCTACTACGAATGACATATATACAGACCAGCAAGTCAGTACTTGATGAGCAGTCTATGCTAGGATATGGATAACCCCTATAACGCTATACCACATGCCACCTCTACGAGAACATCCCCAGCACTGCGAAAGACAGTCCGTTTTTGCTTACCAGTACTATATCTTCGATAGAGCCTCTATACGCCCTCTAATATCATTACTGCCAAATACATATCTACCAGGCACTCACCTTGTTACTTACTTCCATCAGCCGATGTTGCGCACCATCCAGTAGACCAAAGATGATCTATCGCGTCTGTCTAGACAGCAAACAAAAAAATGTGTTCCAACATTTAACAGCCAAATACCAAACATCCCCAACACTAATCCCAATCACCGACTTCCATCATTGCCTACTCCCAGACCACAATCATCTACACTTTTACCCCCCTAAGAATACAGCCCATACCCAATACCCAAATCCCAAATCCAACCCACCATAAGATCCACCATTCCTTCCCTTCCCTGCTACGTGCGGATCTTCATAATCGAGTAGGAAGAGGGGAGAGGGATAATGAATCCCTGCATTCTCAATGGACGACTGGGGCCGGCGGTTCAGCCGCCAATAGACAAGCGACGCATCGGTTCCCTCTTACTTGATTATACAAGGCACAACTATCGATGCTATCAATGCTATTGACTTATTGCTTGCAACTTGGAAGTATTCAATATATATCATAGAATATCTATCCCTTACTGGGGTTTATTGTGGCATGCAGTTATTGATGGGAGTAGTGATATAAGTATTGAGTTTACTTTGTGTAGTTACTTATAGCTAAGTATTATGGACCCCTGTGGAGAATCTGAATATTATTGGTAGTTTGTGTGTAAGAGTACTACTTGATTAGTGTACTACGGAGTTCCTCTACCTAATTGAGAAAGTAATGTAGCACAGCGTGCTCTACAACAGAGTAATTAGATACATAGGGATGAACATCCACCTACCTACTACCTACTAGTAGACTAATAACCGTTAGGAATCCTGTAAGTCAGCGTCAGCAGGAGCAGTGGCATGCCTTATAACCCACAACCCACAACGAAGTCATAACTCACCACCCGTTAACCCACATACTGACATCTCCTAGCCCAACGGCTACTAGTCTACCACCATCCACCCAGCACTACTCCATACCTCAGCAGTGAGCATTGACAATGGAAGTAGTAGCGTAGCGAACTGATCGTCCAGGGCTGGTATTCTTCAGCAAATAGTCAAGTGGAGACACTTCAGTAGAAAAGCGGGATGGGATGGGATGGGATGCTAAGGCATGCATGTGCGGGCTACGCAACGGTTTATAACATGTTCTATGTACAATGCGAGAACCAATTATAGCTTTGTAAACTGCCGTGGAATGATTTGCCCTAACGGCGTGACTTTCTACTTAGATGGGTATAGACTGCATTCCTGCGGCTCGGTAGTTATTACTATCGGCATTGTTGACCACATGTCTGAATAAATTGATGGGTCGTGAGATTGGAGGTATTAGTTTTGTTGGGGGATTGTTAAGATAGCTAACTAGGTAGGTAAGTAACTTACTATTCTAAGTAGGTAGTATCTATCTTGTGAATTGTTAACCGTAGTAAGTAAGTAAGTAAGTATCATGATCGTAACATTCGAGATGATACCAAGAATGCACGTATTGTATATTTACATACTAAACTTACTTATTCTATTGCTAAGATTATACCAGAGAAGTAACTCTAACGACGCCCATCCCGAATAGAAAATTTCTCAACCTTGGAAATGCCGACAGAGAAACATTTCTACGACTGTCGCTAACTTAGAGCTTATTTAGAAACATGGCGAAAGACTTCACTTCATACTAACTCTACTAAACCATAGCAGGGTATGTGTGTCATAGCCTGAACTAGAGTAACTACTAAAAGGGCAGAATCAAATCCTCCTAGAAACACTAAACTCAATCCCAGAGGGAGAAGCTTATCCTGTATACATGCGGGGTGGATGGCCCATATAGCTATTAGCTACATACCGATGCAAGGGGTGGCGCATGGGTGCATGTATGTTTAATTGGTACCTGGCGTACCTGCAGGAGATATCCTTCGAAGAAACGGGGAATTTCGTGCAGATAATTGGGACTAAGCTATGAAAGGGAAAACCTTACGATAGAAGTTGGAATAGTAATGGTAGGGCTGGGAAGGGGATAGATAGATATTAGTTTGGATGGGTGGCTGGGGCCCAGGAATGGCGATCATGGATGTGCCGAAACGGTAAAGGTGAGGATATGCTAGATAGACTTGCAGGGTTATCGTGCGGATTATTGACCCGATATCTTGTCTTTATTCTCCTAGATAACCTTTCACCCCTGTGTTGTGTGGTGTTGGGGGGTGTGGATAGTATTGGAGGATTCATTGGTAGGAGTGGGTTATTGATTGATAACTATCCAACAGGGTTGTATGGGGTAAGAGATGTCGCCGTTGGCAAGGGTGCTCTGCTCCTAAAGAAGGGGCAAGTATATGCATATGCGATCGATATTATCTTGATATTACTGGGGTCGTGATGTTCACCCCGGATGCCTAGATAGCGATGCTTGCATGGTGAAACTCAGGAGATCTAAGATAAGGCCATCTAATTAGGGAGTAGACGATATCTCGCGCCTACATGCAGTCCTCGGTAACATCCCCAGATATGCACTTGGGGATAAGCGCCAGTGAGTGGCTAATGCGCTCCTGTCTGGAATAAGCTTTTCTAAGCTCATGTCTATGGTAGAAAATCAGATAGTCATTTGCACGTCGACTACGCCTTCAACTACACTGCGAGATCGGATGCAGGAGGCAACAACAGGCCAGTTGTTTACAGTGTGAACGAGAACACATGGCCAGAGGACGAAGATCTGGGTCACTAGGCGATAGTTCTGCAGATCGCTGCCCCGATCGTACCTAGACTCACTAGTTACGGGTCCCAGCACCATCGCAGGTGGGATGGACAAAATAAGGCATCAAAGAGGTGAAAGGGGAATCTCGCCTTGGGCACAAAATTGGGACTGACCCGAATCAGTTGTTGTTGACCAGAATTGGGAGCCATGGAGAAGGGTTGGGAAGGGGGGAGCAAGGAAGGGCGACAAGAAAGGGACAAGCAAGGCGAGCAGCGATGGACAAAGAAGGGAGAAATCTCGGTGATGTCATGGAGTTACTACTGGGTTCGGGGGAAGGTCGCATCGGGGACAAGTCACGGGACCACGCTCTGCCGGTCGCGTCGTTGGGGGAGGGGAGACTCCGGGGTTCCACGGTTCACCACCATTGTTATTGTTTACAGCAGAAGCCAGAATGGAAAGTGATAAACAATGCCAGCCGGGTCATCTGCAGGACTCATCACGAACCAGGATTATTTCCCCTCCGACCGTGTGGGTGTGGGTGTCGGTGGTGTGCCAGCGCATACATACGCACATACAGTTACAGTGGTGACATGCAGATACCGGAGGGTGCGGGAAGGGAAGGATGAGAGAAGGTTTCATGCAAGACTTTCCCCTCCATGTGACATCACGACTGGTTCCCTCCAATCGACGCGATTCCAGGCAGGCAGATCTGGGAAAGCAAGTTGGGAGCACTCCAGTCCGCACGGAGGGGACAAGAGAGGAGGGGAAGGGAGAAGATAGCATCATCCCCCCCATTCACCGTATCTAAATAAAGTTGCAGACAGCCTTTCTGGAGCACGAGCACTTAAAGCTGCAGGATTAGCCCAATCAGGGGCCCCATCACCACTTGAAACCCCGCAGCAGCGCTTCCTGCTGGCCCGCCAAGGCTGTTGCTGATACTGGACCATTTTGACGCGGACCACTAGCAGGGATTGTTGACACTTACAAGAGCGCCCGACGCTGATGCCCGGTCCGCGGACGTGTCTGGGCTGCCTGGCCGACAGATAACAGTGCATGTCATGGCCGCTCAGGTGACGGAGAAGCCCGTCAACATCCCCGACTCCACCGAAAGATCCGAGGTAAGTAGGAAAAGAAACACTAACCGGCTTAGCACGGCTCGCTTTTCACGCGGGCGACGGTCCAGATCAGTTCCCGGCGCCTATAATCAAACAAATAGACACTCAGTAGATCCTTCAGCCGCACAAGAACTCCCCCCCCCTCTTCCGCGTCAACCCATCATCTAATTTAATACCCTTAAAAGTGGTGTCGCCTTGAACTTACTCTGTACAATCAATGCCTACCCACCCGTCCTCAATAAAGGCGGAACCGGCTGTCACTCTAGCGATATTGCCTCTGATAGTTCTTGGGGCTAGCGCCCTTCCTGGCGCGTAGACACCGCGGGTGAGCCGCATTTTCCGGCTGTCTTCGCTCAAGGGGGATGATTGTTGTTGCTCAATCGGGACCCTCATGAGCTCTAGCGCTAATACGTTCGGAGCGAGGGAAGGGATCATCATTGGGACCGTCCGGTGTCTCACAGGTGAGGGGCCTCTGGCCTGGGAGAACGTAAAAATGACCATTGTGAGTGGTCAATGATGCGATCGCTGCTCGCAGGAGCTTACCGATCTCGCTATCCGTGGCGGTGTAATAGTAACAGCGAGGAGGGCCCCTCTCTTATTCGATCGAGCTATTTTCATGGCCCACGAGGCAGCACTAGCTTCGAGGCAATATCATAGAGATCGAGGAGATTGAACCCGAAGGGTGGAGAGCTATACTCTCCATAACTGGCTCGGGGATTGCATGACTCCAGAATGCCGTTTGGCCCCTCGTTGTGGCGGAGAAGGAGTGTATCAGCCAAAGTGACGTCGTCAGCCTCTCGGGTGCGACAGGAAATCCTGCTTCAGCTGGAGTGTACACTGATCCCCACACCCGGCTAGGTCTAGAGCCGTAAGCTAGACGGCCTCAGCCTCACGGCGTAGACATGGACGGAGCTCTCTGCTGGCGCAATTGCGCCTTGTTGAAAAGCCACTGTCGAAAGCAGCGATAAGATCCCACACGGCTTGTTATCAAAGCACCTTCCTGAGATGGTTGCTGAAAGAAAGGGAGGATATCCCTGGCCAAGTTCTGCAGGAATGTGGGCAGAGTGAGGGCCAACGTAAGGGAATGATGTGAGTGTGAAGAACGGACCACCATGAAGACTGTGCGCAAGAGGGGTTGCGAAAAATCCAGTCTGGAGGGACCATCATCAGATCTTTTGCTGCCCTGAAGCCCGATTACTCTGTGTGTGTGCCGTGTGTCCGAAGCAGTCAAGCTGTCCGTAAGAAGGAATACCTGAATGCTCCCCTCCCTTATGATGATCCGCCAAAGAAGAAAGATGCTGGAGTTGCACAGAATCTAGGTGGATCTGATAGCGGCATACTTCCTCCACGCTGGTCACGGCGGCGGCCGAAGAAGAATCTTCTGCAGAAATTCGCTTCACTACTGGATGGAAGTTAAGCGCGTGGCATGCTCGGATCTGAGGCCTCCAGTTGTCCAGTTGCTCTGGCATCACTCAATTCGGCTAAGCCGGCCATTTTTCCGATCGGAGACGAGGTGTGCCTGTGAAGGCAACGATGATCTAATCAGTCGGCATGTGGGTTTGATCTGTGATACATGACTTGAGAGCAAGAACATGGCGGGAATGGTTCAATTTTGGCAAGTCTTAATGTAGAGCAATACCTCATGGCATGGTCAGTCGACTGGCGGTAGATACCTGGTAGTTACCAGGTGATTGAAGCTTTACGTATGTATGACAGCTCTACTTGCTAGTCAAGGTTCGCAATTATACCATGGAAACCCCGTTCCTGAGAAATGATACCGGACAAGCTCTTTTTTCCGACTCAGTGGAGCCCAAGTGGAGATTCTATTAGACTCGATCTCTCTTTTTGGTTCTCGGGAATGATGTATAGAGTCGAACGCAGAAAAAATCGAACGGCACACACGGGAAGATAATATTATTGATCGGATTTCAGATTTTTATCCCGTCCACTTGCTGCGTTGACTGGTCGATCGGCCGAAAAAAAATATCATCCCAGGACAGTGTACTCCATACTAGGTAGATAGTTTGAAAAGATGCCTGGGGTGATCGCATGCCTAATTACCTACCCATACCTACCACGACCTAGGACTTTCCCAAGTGGGTGTTAGTTCGTCCATCTATTTCCGTCGGAGGCATTGAGCTGGACCTAAATTAATTGATTGACCTAGCCAGGGAGTGAGTCTAAGCCAGGATTATAATTGGAGGAATGAACCATCGAATACTACTAGGTAATAGTCAGCCTTGGTCGGAAAGAGAACTGACACGGCGCTTAGCAGAGAAATTGAGTCTTGTCTTGTGTCCCGAAGTAATACCTCGCTGTACTATGCAGAGCGAAAAATGAAAGGAAAAAGGAAAAAAGCAAATTTGGAACCAACGGTTTCTACAGCAATATTCGGCGGGTTTGTTACATAGGTGAAACCTGTCAAAAAACGAAATACAAAGAGGGGGACCCATAATTTGCCTCCGCAGTTGAGTTAGTAATGGAAAGAAAAGAAGGCCGAAAGAACAGTACTCCGGTACCCTCTTTCTCCTCTCTCTCACTTGTTCCGTGAGACAGGCACGATCCATCAAGGACCATTTTTTTCAGCCAGCCCGCCGAGATTGGTAGAGGACTACTAAGACGATAGTGAGCGGGTGAGGCAGTAAGGACGCTGATAGGCGGGGGGTTGCTGAGCAGCGGCTAGCGCTGGTGCTGGCGGCAAGGGAGTCCCGGCAACGAGGGGCGCCCAGAGCCCTAGCCTGGCTGGACTAGTCCCAGTCCGGGTACCTACTTACTCTGGAGATGACTATGCCTGACTCTGGAAGGTCACTCGACAACTTCTATACTCAGTACATACATACATACACATACCCATACCCATACCCATACTACATATACATACAACGTACATAACTGTATGGTATTGGTACCTCTCCTTTCCCGAACAAGGAAATAAATCTTCCTTGGTATGCGTATCTAATGTATGTATGTTGGAAGGTACCTACAGCTGTCACTGCAAAATTCAATATGCGCCCGAAGAGGAGTTAAAAAAAAAAGAGGGAAATAAAGTTGAAGAGAAAGAGAGGGAAATCTACTCAGTAAGTACGATTTGGATACTAGGGCGGCTATTCGGGAATACCAGATAATTTAGTTAGGAGCAAGTAACATAGTAGTCAGTCGCTTCTATTCTCCGGCCAAACCAGAACAGAAAGAAATCAATCAATCCCTTCTCCAAGAATGAAGAGTCAATCTACTCCTCAATAGGAAACTAGCCAGGCCTTGCAGAGACAACCAGCAACCAGCAACCAAGCAACCAAGCAAAAGAGCAGGCGGTGTCTTGCCTGGGTTTTTTTTCTGAAGGGTCAAATCCTTTAATGCGGTCATGGACCAAACCGGTTCGACATTGGTTTTCTGACACAGCCTAACCCATCGTCGCTTAAGCTCTGCGCAGAGCATCTGGAGATCCCTCCCCACTTTTGCGTTGCCATTGCAACAAGGGCATCCCTTCAGCTTCACTTTCTCCAGACCTTTTTTCTTTCTCTTCCTTCTTTCTCTCTCCCTAGCTAGCTCTTAAACGTCTGCTCTCCACCTTCTTCTTAAGAGCTTCTTTCCCCTGCTCTTCATTCCCATGCTCCGTCGTGTGAGCTTCGCCCAGGCCCAGTCCCGCATTCAGTCCTCTTCTCTTCGGTAACTTTCCCCCGACTGCATTAGCGTACCATATCTATGGCCTATCTGCAACCATCCCGTCCCCCTAATTCTTCGCTGTGAGGGTGTGCCTTTGCTGATCTGGTCTGCGGTTCTCTCTCTAGCCATCTTGCCCGTCCGACCTGCTTCCTATTCCAACCCGTACCCTTCCCGAAATCACCTTGATCCCCCACTGGACACCCCAGCTATGTCACTCTAAACCGACGGCTTCGTCACCGAGTAGTGCGGTTTCGGACTGGTCAGTTAAAGACTTCTCGAAGCCGTCATTACATTCTGCGAAGGTTCGGGATCTGAGACAAGTCGGGATATACTAGGAGGAGTGCAAGGAGCTGGATAGACTACGACGACTACGATTGTACCACATCTGCCGTGTAGTGTATGCCGGATAGATATAGTCCGCACCGTATCTGTCGTCTGTTTCTTGGCTACTAGCTATTACTTCGCTTGGTCGTCGACTTTTTTGGGCGTGGAATACCAGAGAGAGCGGAAGACTACCATTCTCCGGCAAGAATGGAACATTCGTCCCCGTTGGCTGCCATGCAGCCCCCCTCGGTGATGTTCGGGCATTGCTTTCGTGCAGATGCACCGACTTCCTATACTTCTTTCAGTCCAATGCGTGGACTGGGCCACAAGAATTTCAACTTCAAAGACCTCTCCATGAAGAAAGGCCATGGGGACTATTTTAATGTGAAACCCGTTCGAGGCTCGTCTCCCACGGCTAGCCTCGCCGCGGATCTGTCTCAAAATTTTCACATTGATCAAAGGTTTGTTCTGCCGTTGGGTTCGGGTCTTTGTTCCGAATGTCTGGTTCAGCCATGAAGGGATTCACTAACACCCAAAATTAGTCCGCAGCTGACTACGCCCCGGCGGTCTTTGTTCACTGCGAGTCTACTCGGGAATAGTAACCGGTGTGGTAAGAAGACTCCCATTTGAGGTCATATGAGGGTGGATTGCTTAACTGTAGAGCAGAGTCTATGACCACACCTCCACTACCCGCGTCCTCGCCTGCTCCGGCCATGGATATCATGGAAATGTCCCCGTTACCGCATAAGCCGGCATTCGGCCTTCTGAATGAAGCCGAACTTGACTCGCCTAGCCTGGCTACAATGGATACTCCGATGATGTCTGCCGCCGCTAGCCCACTCGAGGAATCGCCGCTCGTCCAGCAAAAGGATAGCCTGCAAGAGTAAGAGAGAAGTGCTTGGACGTGATTTTGGGCGATGTGGATCTAATTACATTTGTGTCTGTAGGAGAAGACGTCCGACCTTCTTGCGGCCAAGTTTAGCCAGGAGCAAAGCCCAGACCTTTCAGCTGGGCATGACCAAACCCGCCCCGGAGAGCCAGGCACCACCATTCAAGTTCCAGAGCAAAGGAGGGAAAACATCGCTGAGCGCATCTGCATCACTGGAGGACATGTTCAACGAGTCACCACAGCGGGAACGGCCATCATTGAGTCGCCACTCCAGCGGAATCCTGATCAATCCCCGACTGAGACCCCAACTTGGAAGCAGTGGGAGCCATGTCCGCGGCAATGGCTCGCCCACGGCGGCTTCGATCCGCAAAAATTCCCACCCGATGACGCGCCCTCGGAAGCAGTGCCGACGCTCGCTGAGCATGTTTGAGCACCCGGAGGATATTGTTGTCGATAAAGAGGCTAACTATACTACAAATGCACCACTTCCGTCGATCCCCGACATTGAAGGAACCCCGAGCCTGCAGCTCCCTCACACCTTTTCTGAGGACCAGGCCGATACACTGCCTCGCATCGATAAGAGTATCCTCGTGGAGCTCCTGGATGGCAAGTACAATGATCGTTTCGATAACATCATGGTCGTCGACTGCCGCTTCGAGTATGAGTACGAGGGCGGGCACATCACCGGAGCCGTCAACTATAACGACAAGGACTTTCTGGCCGCCGAACTCTTCGCAAGCCCAAAGCCGCGGACGGCCTTGGTCTTTCATTGTGAATATTCCGCCCATCGGGCCCCGATCATGGCGAAGTATATCCGCCATAAGGATCGTGCCTATAACGTGGACCAATATCCGCACCTTAGCTATCCCGACATGTACATTCTGGAGGGTGGCTACAGCGCATTCTTTGCGGAACACCGGACCTTGTGCTATCCACAAAATTATGTTGAGATGAGCGCCAAGGAACACGAGTTTGCCTGCGAGCGTGGCCTCGGGAAGGTCAAGCAGAGGTCCAAGCTCAACCGAGCGCAGACGTTTGCCTTTGGTCAGCACTCTCCTCAGATGGAAGACAGTCCCACGGGGAGGTGTCGCAATAACGCTGGTGACCGCAACCGGTTCCTCGGGTCCCCATTCGCTGAGAGTCCAGCATCTGGACGCTTCTCCGGCCGACGCATGCTTTCCTACTGAGCTGGAACATTTCCTTAAATGTACCTGGCACACGCCGTGATTTATGGGTATCATGATGTGCTGCCAATTGCTACCACCTTACGGGCCTTCCTTTGGATTTCTTTTACCTGTCGTTCGACATTCAGATACAGTTTGGCCACTGCGGGTCAATTGCTCCTAGCGAGTTTCTGGGTATTGGCGTCAGAGCGTTTTGCATTGGGATAGCAGTGGCGTCAACTGTCTCACTGCATCCACACCATTCGTTTGCTTGGGTTTCTTTCCTATCAATTGGGGTTGGTGCGGTTATCAGACGGCCATTCTGACGACGATTGGTTTGACTTACTGGAGTACCTTTTGCTTTACGATTTGAAGACGACTTATTGCTTCTCGCGACCTGCACCTCACCTTTCGACCGAGTTCGACCCCGTTTTCTTGCCATCCGACCACTCCCTTCGGATTTTATTTCCTATGTTTTTGACGACCACCTTGATCTTCGACACATTCGTGATCGACTTATGATACCTCGCCAGCTGGCATTTCTTTCTGCGACTAATTTCCTATTACTCTCTACCGTCGTTTAATCATCCACCCCGAGCTCCTGTATAAAGCTACGGGAGTGCCACGCTACATGCCGTCCACACAGTACATATCGACATACGGCTCAATCAGGAGATAATCTTGACATGCACGCTCGCTATTGGAAGACAAGATTTGGCATGAAGAAGCCAGAGCTTGCCTGCGAAGAGAATGTTCGTGCAGGTGTACATACATAAACCACGAACCTGGTCGGCTACTGGCCCGACTATAATGTATGGGGGGACTGGAGGTTAAAGGACTAATTTCCTATGTTGGACAATGATGAGATGAACTTTCAAAAATACGTGGCTACACCCCGTAAACACCTTGTAGAGGAATTACAAGTAATTGTAGGCAAAGCAGTGGCAGCGATGTACCTCCGCAGCGGACCCAATGAAATCGCGGCCTGTCGCACCTCCGCTCCGCTACCCACAACCCACCCATTCCGTCCATCGCGCTCCTCCGCCGCAAATCTTCCCCTCACCATCCATCACCACCACCAAAACCAAAACCACAGAACATTGCTCAATTGACAATGGACATCGACGACATCCTCGCCTCCGTCGACCGCACGGCAGACACATCCACTCCGGAATCCACCGCCCTCGACCACCAATTACTCACGCGCTTCTGGGTCGCCGAGCGCGCCGTCGCCGAGCTCCTCCCATGGCCGACATCCTTAATGGAGCGCATGATGGAGCGCGTCAGACGACAGGTATCCCCTCAACCCATCTTTCCCTACCCCATATTCCTCCTTCCCCCATACACCAACCAGCTAACACATACAAACCAAACTAAAGATCGAATCCATCGAAGACCTCGCCGCCTCCTCCACCGACCCAATAACACACCACCAAACCTCCTCCGCAGCAACAAGCAACCTCACCCTCTCGATCCTCCAATCCGACCTTTCCCGAACCCAATACCTAATCCGCTCTCTCCTCCGCCAACGGCTCTCGAAACTCACAGCGCATAGCATGCACTACCTACTTCTCATCTCCCGTCCCACACAACAACCTCAATCGCAACAATCGCAGACCGATTCCTCCAGACCCGAGGACTCTATCCCCGAGCCACCAACGTTCACAGACGACGGTACAGAAGATGATATATCTCCGTTGTCGAAGGAGGAAGTAACCTTTCTGCATGCGCATCAGACGCTACTGGCGGGTCATTATGGAGCGTCGTTTTTGAATTCTTTCCCTCCGCAGTTGAGGAGGTTGGATGATAATGCGGGCGGGACTAGTATGGTTCAGGGACCGGATGGGAAGGAGGTTGTGTTTGTGAGGTGTCTTGTTGAGGAGGTTAGGGTTGTGGTGCCTCCTGGGGATGGGGTTGAGGTGGAGGTTGAGGGGACGGTGTTGAGGATGGGGGAGGTTTGGGCGGTTAGGTGGGAGGGGGTTAGGGGGGCTTGGGGGAGGGGGGAGGTTGAGGTTTTGTAGGGTTGATTTTTGGGGGAGGGGGAATGGGGGGATTGCATTTGAGGCGTTGGGGTGGGGGATTATACCTTTGCATAGTACATATACCGTCTGTTTTCTTTTTACTATCTGATGGGGTGGATGCTACGCTTGTTTACGTTTGTGAGTAGTTTGAGCGCTGCACAGTCTCAGTTTCAATCATCAATGCATCACTCATCACTGCATATAGCTTCGCTCGTCCTGATGCACCACCCACCCACCCTTGTAAACATCCGCATCAAGTCAATAAAACAACCAACATCTATGTAGGCTGAAACGCTTTCATTCCGTGTCCATACCGTGCGCCATCGCCGCTCAAGTCCAAGACCATTCATGTTCAGTACGCTCAACGCCACCGATGAAACAAAAGAAAACAACCGTGAAATTCAAGAGAAAACCAGCAGAGGGTAGTATTGGCTACGCCACATATCCGTATGTAGGTGGATCCTCTTCAACTCGCTCGAGATACTCGCGATCAATCAAGCTCTCGATGCGCTTTTTGATCATGTTGACGTCTGGGACAAATCGTGCAGATAACTGAGAGAGCACCTCGGTCATGAGTTGCGAGTGAATTAGTGTTTTTCGTTGTCTGTGACTTTGTTAGTGGTGGGTCGCTAGCATGTATAAGGAGGGTGCATACTTCATGATTCTGACAATGGCAGCCTCGATGCTGGCTCCGCGCTCCTCACTCATCTTCTTCTCCGTCTCCTTGCGCTGGTCTTGGTTCTCGACCTTGTTGGCACTGCCGCTGACAACGCCGATCCGGACCTTCATGAAAGGACTCTGGAACTCGTTGTTGAAGACGAACTTGTCTGTGGGCTTGACGTCCTTGCTCATGGGATCTTTCTTCAGGACACGGGTCTTGGGTGCGACGGCCAAGGATTGCAAGTTTCGGATGAGATCGTGGTCAGGGATACGAGTGCGTTCTTGGATCTCGGTGTAGGTCAGAGACTCGCCCGCGGGCACATCGTTGAACAGCAGTAGAATGATCATAGCGTAAGTAGAGACATTGAGTTCGTGTCGCTGGACCTTGCCATTGGCCCGCTGGAAGGTTGCGCGGATATCGGCCGTGCCCATGCTGGCTTGCCACGACAGCTTGCGGCCATTGTGCTTGCCAAGGTAGAACTGTTCGAAGCTTTGCTTCACGCTGTCGACTTCCTTGGGAAGGATAGGGGGTAGTTGAACCTCGTCATTTCTCGCGTTGGACATGATCTCCATGGGCCACATCGTACTGGTGAGCACGTTGATGTCCAGTTCAATCCGCTTTTGGTCGGGGTCGCTGGACTGTCGCATGTGTTCCTTGTAGCTCGACGTCAGATCCTCAGAGATGGTCATGTCCTTGAACATAGACTCCAGGCGCTGTGTGAATTGATTGCCCACTTCCATCTTCATCTTCGAGATCATCTGTCGCTCAGCATCCATGCTCACGGAGCGCTTCATCAGCAGACGACGGGAGAGATGTTTCTTGTAGTATGCCTCGAACATGTCCTTGTCTTTGATGTAACGCAGCAGTGTGATACCGTTGTCCAGCAAAGTATCAATCTCGGAATCTGTCTTGCCCTTGATGCCCTTCTTCAGGTTCTCGTCGAAGAAAAGAGAGAGGTATTCGGAACTGCGCGAGTCTCCACCTTGCGACAAATTGATGAACTCAGAGAAGCTGCTGGTTATCGCGCTCTGCAGGACTTGATCAGACTCGAATGCATTCTCCCAGATATTGTCGAACTTCTGCTTCAGACGCAGGATATCGTCCACCCATTTGATGGCAGCCACCGTCTGCTGGTTCACGGGTTTCTCTGCTGGCTTCTTTCCACCAGGTTCCGGCTTCTTACCTGCAGCAGTGGCCGAGACTTGCGATGCAATTGCAGAGGCATTAATTTCCTTGCCCATCTCGACGATCCGCCTCTGCACGGCAGTAGTCAGAGGGGTCTTCTTGCTGTCGACTCTTGCGCTGAGCACGTAAACGCTTCGTAGATTATCAATGCGATCATTGTCCAGCATGGTTCTAACACCGGTACCCTCGAGATTGACCACCTCGGCGATGTTGTTCTTTATCAGTTCACTATCGAGGACATCTTTGATCTTCGTCTTTGAGAGTGATGACAGCGTGTCAATACACCTTTCAGTCTCTTCCGAGAGACGCTCTGTGGCGACCTTGCAAAAGGTTGCAGCATCACCGGTCTCCAGCAATCGCCGACCCTCAGCCTGGTAGAATTTCTTGCTGGCTTCCAAGAATGCCGGCTCAAAGACAGTGAGATACAATCTCGATGACTCCTCCTCTGTAATAGTCTCGTAAAGCCCCTCCAGCATATACACGCAGTGTCTGATCAAAGGCCTGTCGATTATATGCCCAGACCGTTCCAGTTGTAGCATGAACAGCACAGTCGACTCCAATACATCGTATACGCTCGTCGTGGTGTCCGATCGAATGGGAGCGCGAAGCACATGATCTCGAAATAACGCCATTGATGCCACATAAATGGATGGCTTTCGGTGGTCCGTCGACATAACACGGTCCTGATGGATGAGATTATCCTTCAGTTAACGCGGATTCAGTGCAGATGAAGGAGGATGGTACACTTACCATATACATAAGAACATCCGTGATCATCTTCATACATAGCTGATGATCCTCCCAAGCTTCCTTGAGCACTGCCAGAAATCTCTCCCCCGCATCTCGCCTCTCATTGGCTTGGTCTTGCGCATCTACCAACTGCTTCGCCAGCAGCAGGCTCGGCGAGATGGCCCCGATCACCAACTTGTGGACTTCGGTATCTAACCATTCACGTTCCAGTTGTTGAATCCGTTCGTACAGTTCCGTTCCACGCATTCCCAGGACGATGTTGTAGGACTTGCGATATATCTCCTCGAACGACAAAGCCGACGCATCTTTGGTGTGAATCTTTTTAAGCGAAGTAGATAGCTCCGCCCAACTCGTTTCGAAATCGTTAGTCTTGCTCCCTGCCATGCCCTGATGTTGTTCTCGTTAGCATACCGATTTACTGAATCCAATTCCGTTATCGAACGGAACTTTGCCCCGGACACAACACCACAAGCTCCAGGCCATAAGAAAACGGTAAAGAAAAAAAAAAAAAAAAAAAA